ATCACCCGTACGCCATCAGACAATCAAAATTTGGTAAAAACGACAATAAAAATTTATTTCTACCAAATTTAATAATTATAATCATCTGAAAGTTACCAGAGTTCTAGTAGGGACTGAGCCCTACCCAATCTTGAAGATTAGAGAATTTTATTTCAATTTTTAAGTAGTAGCACCATCACCCGTACGCCATCAGACAATCAAAATTTGGTAAAAACGACAATAAAAATTTATTTCTACCAAATTTAATAATTATAATCATCTGAAAGTTACCAGAGTTCTAGTAGGGACTGAGCCCTACCCAATCTTGAAGATAGAGAATTTTATTTCAATTTTTAAGTAGTAGCAGGTCCACCCGTACGCCATCAGACAATCAAAATTTGGTAAAAACGACAATAAAAATTTATTTCTACCAAATTTAATAATTATAATCATCTGAAAGTTACCAGAGTTCTAGTAGGGACTGAGCCCTACCCAATCTTGAAGATTAGAGAATTTTATTTCAATTTTTAAGTAGTAGCACCATCACCCGTAACGCCATCAGACAATCAAAATTTGGTAAAAACGAAAATAAAAATTTATTTCTCCAAATTTAATAATTATAATCATCTGAAAAGTTACCAGAGTTCTAGTAGGGACTGAGCCCTACCCAATCTTGAAGATTAGAGAATTTTATTTCAATTTTTAAGTAGTAGCACCATCACCCGTACGCCATCAGACAATCAAAATTTGGTAAAAACGAAAATAAAAATTTATTTCTACCAAATTTAATAATTATAATCATCTGAAAATTACCAGAGTTCTAGTAGGGACTGAGCCCTACCCAATCTTGAAGATTAGAGAATTTTATTTCAATTTTTAAGTAGTAGCACCATCACCCGTACGCCATCAGACAATCAAAATTTGGTAAAAACGACAATAAAAATTTATTTCTTCCAAATTTAATAATTATAATCATCTGAAAAGTTACCAGAGTTCTAGTAGGGACTGAGCCCTACCCAATCTTGAAGATTAGAGAATTTTATTTCAATTTTTAAGTAGTAGCACCATCACCCGTACGCCATCAGACAATCAAAATTTGGTAAAAACGACAATAAAAATTTATTTCTACCAAATTTAATAATTATAATCATCTGAAAGTTACCAGAGTTCTAGTAGGGACTGAGCCCTACCCAATCTTGAAGATTAGAGAATTTTATTTCAATTTTTAAGTAGTAGCACCATCACCCGTACGCCATCAGACAATCAAAATTTGGTAAAAACGACAATAAAAATTTATTTCTACCAAATTTAATAATTATAATCATCTGAAAGTTACCAGAGTTCTAGTAGGGACTGAGCCCTACCCAATCTTGAAGATTAGAGAATTTTATTTCAATTTTTAAGTAGTAGCACCATCACCCGTACGCCATCAGACAATCAAAATTTGGTAAAAACGACAATAAAAATTTATTTCTACCAAATTTAATAATTATAATCATCTGAAAGTTACCAGAGTTCTAGTAGGGACTGAGCCCTACCCAATCTTGAAGATTAGAGAATTTTATTTCAATTTTTAAGTAGTAGCACGTCCACCCGTACGCCATCAGACAATCAAAATTTGGTAAAAACGACAATAAAAATTTATTTCTACCAAATTTAATAATTATAATCATCTGAAAGTTACCAGAGTTCTAGTAGGGACTGAGCCCTACCCAATCTTGAAGATTAGAGAATTTTATTTCAATTTTTAAGTAGTAGCACCATCACCCGTACGCCATCAGACAATCAAAATTTGGTAAAAAACGAAAATAAAAATTTATTTCTACCAAATTTAATAATTATAATCATCTGAAAAGTTACCAGAGTTCTAGTAGGGACTGAGCCCTACCCAATCTTGAAGATTAGAGAATTTTATTTCAATTTTTAAGTAGTAGCACCATCACCCGTACGCCATCAGACAATCAAAATTTGGTAAAAACGAAAATAAAAATTTATTTCTTCCAAATTTAATAATTATAATCATCTGAAAGTTACCAGAGTTCTAGTAGGGACTGAGCCCTACCCAATCTTGAAGATTAGAGAATTTTATTTCAATTTTTAAGTAGTAGCACCATCACCCGTAACACCATCAGACAATCAAAATTTGGTAAAAACGACAATAAAAATTTATTTCTACCAAATTTAATAATTATAATCATCCTGAAAAGTTACCAGAGTTCTAGTAGGGACTGAGCCCTACCCAATCTTGAAGATTAGAGAATTTTATTTTCAATTTTTAAGTAGTAGCACCATCACCCGTACGCCATCAGACAATCAAAATTTGGTAAAAACGACAATAAAAATTTATTTCTACCAAATTTAATAATTATAATCATCTGAAAGTTACCAGAGTTCTAGTAGGGACTGAGCCCTACCCAATCTTGAAGATTAGAGAATTTTATTTCAATTTTTAAGTAGTAGCACCATCACCCGTACAGCCATCAGACAATCAAAATTTGGTAAAAACGACAATAAAAATTTATTTCTACCAAATTTAATAATTATAATCATCTGAAAGTTACCAGAGTTCTAGTAGGGACTGAGCCCTACCCAATCTTGAAGATTAGAGAATTTTATTTCAATTTTTAAGTAGTAGCACCGGTCCACCCGTACGCCATCAGACAATCAAAATTTGGTAAAAACGACAATAAAAATTTATTTCTACCAAATTTAATAATTATAATCATCTGAAAGTTACCAGAGTTCTAGTAGGGACTGAGCCCTACCCAATCTTGAAGATTAGAGAATTTTATTTCAATTTTTAAGTAGTAGCACCATCACCCGTACGCCATCAGACAATCAAAATTTGGTAAAAACGACAATAAAAATTTATTTCTTCCAAATTTAATAATTATAATCATCTGAAAGTTACCAGAGTTCTAGTAGGGACTGAGCCCTACCCAATCTTGAAGATTAGAGAATTTTATTTCAATTTTTAAGTAGTAGCACCATCACCCGTACGCCATCAGACAATCAAAATTTGGTAAAAATGAAAATAAAAATTTATTTCTTCCAAATTTAATAATTATAATCATCTGAAAGCTACCAGAGTTCTAGTAGGGACTGAGCCCTACCCAATCTTGAAGATTAGAGAATTTTATTTCAATTTTTAAGTAGTAGCAGGTCCACCCGTACGCCATCAGACAATCAAAATTTGGTAAAAACGACAATAAAAATTTATTTCTACCAAATTTAATAATTATAATCATCTGAAAGTTACCAGAGTTCTAGTAGGGACTGAGCCCTACCCAATCTTGAAGATTAGAGAATTTTATTTCAATTTTTAAGTAGTAGCACCATCACCCGTACGCCATCAGACAATCAAAATTTGGTAAAAACGACAATAAAAATTTATTTCTACCAAATTTAATAATTATAATCATCTGAAAAGTTACCAGAGTTCTAGTAGGGACTGAGCCCTACCCAATCTTGAAGATTAGAGAATTTTATTTCAATTTTTAAGTAGTAGCACCATCACCCGAACACCATCAGACAATCAAAATTTAGTAAAAACGACAATAAAAATTTATTTCTTCCAAATTTAAAAATTATAATCATCTGAAAGTTACCAGAGTTCTAGTAGGGACTGAGCCCTACCCAATCTTGAAGATTAGAGAATTTTATTTCAATTTTTAAGTAGTAGCACCATCACCCGTACGCCATCAGACAATCAAAATTTGGTAAAAACGACAATAAAAATTTATTTCTACCAAATTTAATAATTATAATCATCTGAAAGTTACCAGAGTTCTAGTAGGGACTGAGCCCTACCCAATCTTGAAGATTAGAGAATTTTATTTCAATTTTTAAGTAGTAGCAGGTCCACCCGTACGCCATCAGACAATCAAAATTTGGTAAAAACGACAATAAAAATTTATTTCTTCCAAATTTAATAATTATAATCATCTGAAAGTTACCAGAGTTCTAGTAGGGACTGAGCCCTACCCAATCTTGAAGATTAGAGAATTTTATTTCAATTTTTAAGTAGTAGCACCATCACCCGTACGCCATCAGACAATCAAAATTTGGTAAAACGACAATAAAAATTTATTTCTACCAAATTTAATAATTATAATCATCTGAAAGTTACCAGAGTTCTAGTAGGGACTGAGCCCTACCCAATCTTGAAGATTAGAGAATTTTATTTCAATTTTTTAAGATAGTAGCAGGTCCACCCGTACGCCATCAGCCAATCAACACTTTGGTTTTACAAAAACGACAATAACAATTATTCTACCCAAATTTAAGTAATTATAATCACCTAAAAGTTACCAGAGTTTCTAGTAGGACTGAGCCCTACCCAATCTTGAAGATTAGAGAATTTTATTTCAGTTTTTAAGTGGTAGCACCATCACCCGAACGCCATCAGACAATCAAAATTTGGTAAAAACGACATTAAAGATTTTGAAGACAGCCTTTGTTTAATTTCAATTTATTTTTTGCTCAATGTAAAGAGCATAGCATGCTTATTTTCAACAAAGAATTTGCTGAATTTAGGAAATCATGTTAAAAATCAGCAGTTGTATACTTAATTTAAAAGTTAGAACTGAAGGTTCAGATTGACTATTCTTATTTTTACGCAAGCCGGGTTTATATTAAGATTGGCATTACTTTCAAGGCTTGTTTAATTTTAAATAGTCCTTAAAATAATATTTACTTGTTACTATGTAGCTTTATTAATTTTGTACTATATTTCTACCATTTTATACTTGTATCAATATCCAATAGTACAATAGTTTTGTAAATTTTATTCTTACATTGTCGTTTTCTATATATAATCTGAACTTTTTGTTCCTTCTTTATATTCAGAGACTTTTTACCATTATATTTCCAGACCATCTGCTTCTTCTAATCCTAAAACACATTTTCCTTTTTTCCTTCTAAAAACTTGGACCAAAACCGTCACTTGAGGATTACTATATCCTTGAGAGGGGCGGGATATGTTCTTGGCACGCGTTCAAGGAAAACAAAAAACAAAGGAGGGGATGATTTGTAGTTCCAGATCGTCGACGGGGTAGTTGCTGCGTCTAGCCAAAGTCTGCAAAGCAAGACTTTAGTCTTCAGTCTGGCATAGGGGAGTGTTAAAGAATGTACACATAGAATTCTATAGTTCGTTGGACCTGCGGTCTGTGTATGTCTTTTTAGTAGTCTTTTCAACTGTTGGAGTGTTGGTTGCGAGATCACCAAGCGCGGTGGGGAATATTCAACTCTATAGGAGAAGGGTATCGAGAAAGAGAGACATAGAGAGAGAGAGGGAACACATTGTGGGTTCGTTCCGGGAGCAGGGCACGATTCCGTAATATTTATTTTCCACTCTACGGCCGTTACTCATTACCTGGCCGACTGCGGCGCCGTGTGCACCTATGTGCTTATATTTTCTTTGTGTCCTCGTGATTTGAAATCGCGCGTGCTGAAAGTGGATTATGACAAAAAAAAATATCTCGCGTGTCAGTGAAAGAAATCAATCGACTTGTTTTAGTGGTAAAAATTTGTTGTTGCCTTCTTTTCATTCATTACTTTCTAGACGTTGGATTGTCACAGGAAGTGGATTCAAAAAATAATAACAACTAGAAACGGATATGCGCCAGTGTTTACCAAGCATTAAGGATTCATAACCTTCGCAGGTGCGGCACGATCGATGTACAACCAGGCAGCCAACCGACTTGCCATTTCATTTCCAAAAAGACTCATTCCCAGTGGATGGACTGTCCCTTTTTTGAAGTATAACAGAAAAAAATTGTTTCTCTAAACTAGTGGTAGAAGAGGAACCACTTGCATTTTTTATTTAGACTCTTTTCACTGCTGTAGGAACTATTTGGATCAATCAGAAACTATAGGATCCATAGGAACCATTTGGAACAATCATGAAATATATCCATTAAGAACCGTTTGGATAAATCAGGAAACATTAGAAATTCGGAACTATTAGGAGTTCGTTCAAAATTTAGTTTTCGGATTCTCTTAGAAATGTTCGTACTGGGTTCGATCGAAGTATTCCAAGTGCTATGATCAAGAGTAACAACTAGATTCCTAGTTGTTACTTCTTAAACGGAAACAGGTCCTGCTTTGTTTCCAGAATACGAAACCAGTTTTGGTTCTTTGCAGATGGAACAAATGAAACAAGAATTAATTAATTATTAATGAAATTTTAAAGAATGTTGATCGGGGACCTACTTCAAAGTTTATATTATTAGTACCGAAAAAGGATAAAGAAAAGTTCTCACTAGATCAGAGATTTTATCATTCAAGTTATCCATCAAGAGATGAACCAAGTTTTTGTTATTTGACATTAAAGATTAAAAGATAAAAGAATTGAAGACTAATGATTTGGTATCAGTTGGATAAAAACAGACGCTATCTGCGTCGATGAGCAGGAGGCAGGTGTCTGTTTGTGTTTCGGAGCGGAATAAAAATTTTGGGTCGCCAAGTATAATTTATATTTATATACTTTATGCCCCTTTTGCTCGTAGATGAAGTCACGGTCGGTGCGAAATCTAGAACAACGAGATTAAAATGGGTTCGCTGATGAACGTCTCGCACTGTTGCATCACAGATTCAATGTCAACGTGCATGGAGTGAAAAGTTTTTACCTTCCGGCGACTTTACTAATTAAATGACGGAAGAAAACCAGTTTGGCATCAATTCCCCGTAAAGATTTACAACAAATGTTGTAAACATTCTTCTTCCTTAAGAATGATTTTTAACTAGAAAACTCGGAGCCTTTTTTTACATTCATACTCTTGTTTTTGTTTCTCGTGATTTTCGGATTATCTCCTGAATTTTGATTCTGAATCTTTTGTAATTTTTTCTACCCATACTATGTTGTGTTGTGTGTCTATGGAAAATGTGATGTGGGTGAAGTGCACTATTGTTCAACGTGAAATAAAGACGCCTACAGTTTGCTGTTGCACAAAATAGATTTAAAAAAACAATTAGCAGTTATTTATGGTTTTTGGAAGAATTAAGAAACGAAAAAAGTAAAATGCTGCCTAGAAAAGAGGGACAACCTGGGCCTTATGCTCTTGAGGATATGATCTCTGATCTTCAGACGAGGAGGAATTCCCTCGATCATGACGAGGGGGATCCTTTGGATTTGCTCAAACAGAGAGAGAGGGACTTGGTTCTTGCTGCGGAATTAGGGAAGGCACTTTTAGAGAGAAATCAGGAATTAACTAAACAAATTGATACACTTGCCGAGGAATATGCATCGAAATTGGAGGTTAGTTGTTTTCTTATTCATATTATGTTTCCTTATGATAATCATGTTGATGAGTCATTCATGTATATAAACTTGTTGCGTTTCGTGTCATTTCGAAAGTCGTGTACTTTTCTATTATCTTTATATTATTTATAATATGAATAACAGAATAATCTAAAACAATAAATGCAAAAGAATATTATTAAAAATAAGTATATAACAAAAAGACCGTATTAGGATAATTATTGCTTCTACCATTATGAATCAATCATTTCTGGAATTTTTTTTTATATTTTGAAATTGTTTGCTTCTTTTGTTACGAATCAGAAACTATTTTTTTATTTATAATTTCTTAATTGTTGGACCTCTAAAAATGAATAAGGTATTTCGTAACGCTTTTGAGGAACTATGTCCGTCCCTGAAAGGGTTTAACAAAACCAGTTTTCATGACATAGCACACTGTGGTTCATATTTCTTAAAAAATTTGCATCGCGTACGTTATTCTTTGTAATTTTTATTATACTGTGATGAATAAATAATGAAGAGGGAATCTTGTGTTTACAGTCGAGGCGAAAGTTAATCGAATTCCATAATTTTTTTTGAATGAAAAAAAGACAGTTTAAACCCTAAGTGTTGTCGTCGTGATACTAATTGAAATTAGTGGAAATTGTTATTAATTTTCCTCGTAAACTTCAGTAGAAAGATTGTAAATTTTCCTTTCATTTTTTGTCACATTTTTTTTTTTAAATAAAAAGAGTAGTTTTAATGGTTTTGTATTATATGTTTGGGCTCAGAATTTTTAAAGAAAAATTTTTCTTTGTTTAAAAAGCATTTGTCATTGTAATAAATGCTAATTTTCTTTCTCATTCAATAAATAATGTGATTTTACGAAATTTTATCAGTTAATGAACTTAAAGCAATTTCGTGTTGTTCTTATCATCTCATATCTGATTCGCAATAGTATTTTCCACAATATTATTTTTTTACCTCTGTTGCGTTTTTAATATTTATATTTATGTGATAAAGTTTAGTTGAAAAAACCAAATATTTATTTAAAAAAATATTGGAGACGATAAAAATATAACGAATTTAAAAATTGAAATCCATTTATATTTATTGTTAAACTCTAGATTCTGTGTTTGATTATAAATATAATTACAGAATTGCTAACGCAATTCTGTAATTATTTATAATCAAACACAGAATCTTATTTTGTTATTAATTTATTATTTATTATTATTTATAATTACTTTATTATTATTTCTTACTATTTATTATTATTTATAATCAGAAATCCAAAATGGAGTCACCGCTAGATGGCAATTGAGTTCTTTCTTGGAATTTCTCTCGCCACCTGGTGGTGACCTTGACGTTCTCAAGTGGAGAAATTAAACCTCCATTTTCTTTCTTAAAAATTTTTTTATAATTAAAAAATTGTTATTGTGAGAATAAAAATTCTGTTTTTAGTGCACATTTATAACGGTTTTTATTGAAACACAAAACGAACTTAAATAAAATTTATTTTTTTCAAGAAAAAATACATTTGATAATAGAAATCGGTTATTTAACCCAAACAAATTTTTTTAGCAAAAAACATTAGTTTCCTCATGAAATATCGTTTTATAACTGAATAGTGCTTTGAAAACAAATTTTCAAAATGTAGTATACTGATTATTAAGTACCGTGGATAATAAATTACAAGTAACTAGAGAATAGTAATTTATAACGCGTTCTAATACTTCAATATTAGAAAACTAGATAATAATGGGAAATGATGAAACATTGATTTTGCAATTTAGAAAGACGTTATAATTTACGTATTATACAAAACATAATAAACTTCTTTGAGTTTATTAAAACTAGTATTGCCGATTATGAATTCGATCATTTTCGTTTGAAACATAATAACTTACAATATTGGTGTGTAAATAAATTTTCCAATTTCTTTAGCTGAAATTATTAAAATTAATCATTTGAACGAATGTTGTAATAATATAAATGTTTTTTTGTCTAAATAACAATGGTTAGGTAATCGATAATGGTAAATGAGAATAATAATCTGTATTGCTGGGAGCTTCGCGTTATAAATCATATTTGAAATAGGAAAATCCTGATGCTTTTAAATATATCCGTTTTATGCGTTTTACATTTAATATTATTTTCTTTTATTAGTTTCACATTCAGTATTTCACTTTCAGATAATAGTTGTAATAACCTTTTTATAGAGGAGCATGTGAATCTGATTTCTTAGCCCCAATTTTTCAAACTACCCTCCCTTATATTGTATCATCGTTCTAAATCTATATTTCACTTTCTTTTATTACTGTACATCTGCTTCTTTCCTTCGATTTTACAAAGTAATGAGATTAAACAATTTTTTTCATTGTGCAGGCAAAACACGCTATTTGTCAATAATGCAGAAAAAAAGGAAACGCAATTAGATTGCTCCGCGATAGTGTCTAAAATTTTGCATTAAAACGTCACTCAACTTTTGCTTTCGATAAAAAAATGGACGATAAAAAAAAATTTATTCCCCTGTTAATAAGAATTATTTTCAAATTTGTAATTTTTTACTATAATTAGAATTCTTTTTTAATTTATTGTTTTTATTTATATTTTATTTTTATAAATAAAATATAAATTAATAAATTGTAAATTAAATATTTTAATATTTAATATTTTAAAATACGATTTAAATAGGATCTAATATTGTAAAATATAATAATTTAAATAAATAAATAATTTTAGTTCGATATTGAATCAGAGATATCACTTTGTATGATCGAAGGGGAAATTGAGGAACTAATTTATTTCTTTGGTTGTAATGTATAAATAGCATCATAATTAATGCAAAAGACAAATCCATAAATTTCTTTCTGATTACATCCATGGAAAATAGTTAAAACAAAAGTCCTTGAGTCTTTATCTTCCGAATCGATAAAAAAATTTATATCTCTCTTTGAAATAATGTTTGCTGTGGTAGATTCTTACAACACCTATACTCAACAATACTTATAATAACATTTTGCTTAATTTCTATTATATAGAAATTCGGGAAATCAGAATTGAATAGATTTTTTATCTCATCGTCTTATAATAATAATAATACATTAATAGTTTACATTTTTAATAATAATAATAATTATAATAATATTTAATAATAATAATTCTATAATAATAATGGTACCAAAAAAAGGTATCTAAGAAACAAACGAATTTTAGGTTATGTTTGTCTTACACTTATCCTAATTAAAAGCTCCTTTTTAATTATGTAAATTTGAAATTAGTTTTCATAGAATATTTTGAATGTTATACATGAATATCAATAATTTGTAATAGTAATTGATTCTCCTTCTGTATTTTTTTTACTCCAAAAATTATAAACATAACCTATAATTTTTTGCTTCTTAGGTACCTTCATTGGGAGAGCATTTCATTTTATTATTAATATTATTATCATAATTATTAATATTAGTAGGTATTATTATTGTAATTTACATAATTAGCCAATAATTTATTTATTTATTCATGGCATAATAATAATATCTTAAAAATTAGCTACTTCTTTTTTGTTTTGTCATTAAAATCTAGAAATAATGAAAATTTTAAGATTATCTTATATTAAAAAATAAGAATCTGTGATTGCTTAATCATTTAGGAAGTTATTGACAAACAATGTAATTATCAAGAAAGCCAATTTCCGGGAGAATTTTTTTTCTCTCTTAATAATAGTCAGAAGGTTGTTTTAAATAATTTTTTCCCCCATTTAAATGCTATTTTCTGCGCATAATTAAAAAAATCCAATTGCTATATTTCATCATGATGTTAGTTGCAGTTTCATTAATTTAATTTATAGCTGAAACAGTATATATAAGAGGTCTTTTAGTAAGCTTCTTTTTCACAAGTGACAATTAGGATACAATCAATTTGAAAACGAGAGGGAAAGTTTCTTTTTTTGAAGAAGATTATGGAGAGAATTGCGCGCAAGCAGCCTTGAGAGTTTATTTGTGAGTTAACGATAAACCTTTTATGGCATCCGATTAGCCTAATTCTTCAGATGGTCCACTGAGCTTTGATCAAGGAAAAACACTTAACGAAAGAGAGAAAAGGGAAGAAGAAAAATTTTACGATTCAATAAAAATTTATTCGAAATTTGAGATTTGATCACTTATTTTTCTATTCAGTTCAGGAGAGAAAATATTGCTCTGGTATTTGCTTTAGTAATTTATACTTGGAGTATTCGGAAAGATACTCGGAAAGATACTCTGAAAGCTTGTATAAGAATTGAGAAATTCTTAATAGTGACACTGATTTTATTATCAGTGTAATATAGCGGGAGGATTACAAATGGTATCAAGTTTCTTGTATTGATCGATGTAATTCTAAGTCCATAAAAGTTCTGATCTGTTAGCATGTTCACTGCGCATTCTAATTCAATTAGGGGGTCTCAGACAGTTAATCATACACATGATGTAAAACAAGTTGTATAAAAAAATGTATTACAGAATATATTCTTTCTTTTGTCTTATGTGTGTCAGGGTCGGGTTGTACTTTTTGTCCGAAAAAAGAGAATTTCGGTCTTTATATCAATTAAACTAAATTTACAGAACATTAATTAGAATTTCTGGATCCGAATTTCTTATCAGTTATAATCAGTTCCTGATAAGTTTTAAAATAAAAATATTTTCATTTTCTATTGTTTTATAGCAGAATTGCAAATAGTAATTTCATCATGAGACGTTTAGCTCTTTTCTATTAAAAATTAACAGATAGAAACAATTTGCGTTAATGACATTATTTCATTATATAAAATGGAACTTGTAACAAACGCCTACAAGCATTTAAGATGCTACAAATGTTTTGTATATTGTCATTCTGTTGAGTGAAGGCTGAGAGAGGAATGTTTATGTGGAAATCATGTACTGCATGTTGATTAGTGCATTCCATTGTGTACATATATTTATATACATACACACAATATGTGTGTGTGTATACACATTATACTCGAAAGTTGCATTTCC